ACCACACCAATACTATTGATAGCCACCCACTCAATTTTAGTTACAACCTGCAATGCATGTGTTCAAAACACAAACCAAGGACTTCAATTTTCCTGTGGCTACTCAGTCCTGGCCACAGTATTTGCTTTTCCCCAAAGGCAAACACTGCTGAGACTGCTCCACTGCCCGGCCGGAGGAGAGAACTCACCATCATTCTAGATGCACCAGCATGAAACTGCTTGCCAAAATACAGGGCAATTGTTGATTTCTGAGGTTTGCTTATGTCCTGAGATGAATTCCTACCACTGAGGTTTCCCTTACTGCTCAGGAGAGGATCTTGACTGCCAAGTGCCAGGTGGCATAGGGGTGCCAATTGCTTACTTCTCAGTATCCAACCCCAGCTTTCTTAGGGAAAACTTACAGGCACATACAACAATAAGTGGCCGGGCACGGTGGCTCATGCTTGTAATCCTAGCACTCTGGGAGGCCAAGGCAGGCGGATTGCTAGAGGTCAGGAGTTCGAAACCAGCCTGAGCAAGAGCGAGACCCTGTCTCTACTATAAATAGAAAGAAATTAACTGGCCAACCAATATATATAGAAAAAAAATTAGCCGGGCATGGTGGCACATGCCTGTAGTCCCAGGTACTCGGGAGGCTGAGGCAACAGAATTGCTTGAGCCCAGGAGTTTGAGGTTGCTGTGAGCTAGGCTGACGCCACAGCACTCACTCTAGCCTGGGCAAGAAAATGAGACTCTGTCTCAAAAAAAAAACAACAATAAGTAAACACTTCTACCCATGATTGAACCACATGGTACACACAGCATGCACAAGTCTATGATTAAGATGGGGAGTCAGGCAAAAAAGCTAGGTCTGCACAAGTGTTCTGGTGCTATACTATAGATGTGCCACTACAGAGCTAGTCTTGGCACAAATGAATAGAGAAACCATTTCTATTATCCTGGAAGTTAGGAAGTTTCACAACCATCTCTCCAAGCTTACCAGTCCAATCTGTTGGAACTCTATGAGGAAGCCTATATCTTTCATTCTGTCACTCACTAGAAATAACTTAACTTAGGGAAACCAGAGTAGTTAGGAGTAGACTCTGAGTGTGAGGTCCCAGTTCCACTGCTTGTTAATGTTGGAATCTTGAACAACTTGTTTAATATCTCTTGGCTTTCTTTCCTTAATCTATGGAAAGAGAAAAGGAATAATAGCTAATAGGGTTATTGTGAGAATTAAATGAGATAATATAAGTAAAATACTTAACATAGACCCAGTTTTGGGTCTCATTTTGTTTTTGTAGAGATGGGGTCTCACTATGTTTTCCAGGCTGGCCTTCAACTCCTGATCTCAAAGGATCCTCCCATTTCAGCCTCCTAAGCAGTTTTGTTTTGTTTTTAAGTGTTCAACAAATGGTAGTTTGACACAGTAAGTTACAACTTCGACAGTTCCCATAATCTTCTCCCACTTGGTCTTAGTTCTATCGAAAGCCTCTTCCCTGGCAGCCAATTGCCTGGGTCCCATGGTGCCTCACGGCCATAGCCACCTCTCTTACATTTCCTGCTCTAATATTCTAAGAGATGGCTAAATGAGTTGTATAATCAAAACAGCATTGAAGTCAGAGGATGCTGAAGTCACGCTGGCCTGAAACCATACAAGAAGGCTTGGACCAGGAGATGGAATTTTTAAAGTGAATTGTTCAATTTGTTTATATCTTACCCCAATCCCAAATATTTGTGGGATTTAAAAAAAAATACACATAATACACTGGTGAAAATAAGTAGGTGAGGGAGTCAGAGGGAGGAAAGAAGACACAGGGAAATAGAAAGCTGGCTATAATATTTCATCAAATCACATCCCAGGCAATCTTTGGCTAGATGTGGGAAAATCTGGTTAAAAATATCCTGTTATCAAAGCAAAGAAGGATAACATGATCAGTTGCAAAATTCATGTATGCCAATATATGTCATATATGCCAGGCACTCTTCTAAGTATTTTATCTGTATTAACTCACTTAATGGTCACTGTTAACACCTCTACCCATTAGTACTGTTGTTGCTGTTTACACAGATGGGAAACTGAGGCTCAGAAAGGTTAAATAAGTGGCCCAGCGTTCACTGTGGCAGCACTGAAATTTGAACCCTGGTTGCCTGGGTTCACAGTCCATACTTTTAAGGGCTAAACAAGACTGTTTTGATGGAGAATGTCCCACAGGTAATAGCAAACCAGCAGTATAGAAGAAGCATTTCCTAACGCTGAGATCGACATCCTCACAAAGACAAAACAGTTTGACAAAGTGTACTAGTTTCCACACGGGGGTATTTCTCAGATAAGTTAATTTCTTTTTAATGGTGGGGGTGGAGGAATATGATAAACAACTGGCAACCTCTTCTTTGGTTGTGTATGCCAGGTAAAAACATTAAAACAACTACCAGGGAATCTCAACATAGTTTCTCATAAAATAAATGACTTTAAGCACCAAAAAAAAAAAAAAAAGTGGGGGGGCATAATCTAAAAAACAGAGGACCTTGGTTTTAAAATGTGAATAAATTCAGCTTGTGAAAGAGGTACACTGTCCCTGTTATTCTCATTTGGCCTCAGACTAGTGAAGACCAGTCAGAGAATTTCAGTGGTGCATGAACTACGACAGTATGTGAGATCCCACTGACACCGACCCTTGGATTCTCTCTGTGGCCTCAGAACACCAAGGACCTAAGAGCAGAACTGAGGCCTCCATCCTTCTCCTGGTGGGATCCCAGGAAGGTCTCAAAATTAGTCTCTTAAGAATCAGACAATGTGATCGGATCAGAAAACCAAGAAGGTCTGTGAAGGTAGTCTGAGTAGGGGCTCTCAGTTCATGATTTCCGACAAGGTGCACGCAACACTCACAAACACCAGCACGTCCCTGCAGTGGCTGAGGTATACCATAGTGATGCTTAGTGTAAGGCTATAATTTCAGTCTTGCATGAAACTGATGACTGTTACTTTAAAAAGAACATGAAATGCATAAAGAAAATATAACATTAACACCAGGAGAATTACTAAATTTTCCTGATGTTAACAGGTTGGCAGCATCTCTCTATTTTGTTTGGTAAAGAATTTGAGTTGCTTATAAATTTATGCTGAAACCCTTTGGATGCTTTCAGAGGCAGCCTCACGTGTTCAGGGAGTTGTGTTTACAATACCTACTGTTCCTATTTTCCATTTAGAATGCAATTATCCTGCTTTGGAAAAAATAAAGGTCACTGGGTTAATGGAACTCACCTTTTTTAGTCCATAAATAATACATCAAATATAATATATTTAAAAAGAAAACCACATCCTATATATCATTGTATTTCTGATGTGTTTTTTCATAAGAATTTGAGTATATGGCACTTACTAGGCTATAATAGTTGCTGTCTATCAAGTTTCTGTAGCACTGGGTCAGTAAGGAAGTACATAGCACCCATCTATTAAGTTGATATTCATCAAAACTAAAAATGTTCCAGAAATTTCTCATGACATTTTCAAATCAGATTACTGTACATTCTACTCTGAACTTGAGGAGGCTATCACAGAATGATTTATACACAGAAAAATCTCATGAGCTTTTTCTGATAAGTATTGACAAAGATATCCATTTAGAAAATTCGAATCAAACACAGACGCAAGCACATTCCTTTACTTCTACAATGGCCTATCGTGAATAGACAGTAGACAGTACTTATGACTATACTAATAATAATAAATATCTCTAAGCAGGCAAGATTCTGCTGCCACTAGGTTCCCTAATGAAAAAACAAAGACTTTCCTGCTAGCTAAATAGCTGAACAGGGCTCTCAGCCCAAAAGAGTCTAATCAATGCTTTCACTTCAGCCTTCCCAAGGGATCAACTAAGCAATCGTTCCAGTACCTGGCACATCAAGATTTATACGGCAGAGTAGGAATGCATGGCCTAAATAGCTTCAGAAAGCCATTTGTTATGAGTAATAAAAAACCAACTTAGAGTAGCTGCTGTTAGATCACCATTACCCTCACACTAAGGCTGTGTGTCTCATGAGATATTTTTAAATAAAGAGAGGATTATAGTACACCCCTGAGCTTGCTATGGAAATTGTTAATTACTCCCCAAAAATAATGAAATGAAAAACTTTGCTTTCCACTCGATGCAGGCTCGTGTAACAAAACACACTGTGATTGCCAAACAGCAGAACCACACACAGCTCCTGCCTCATCATTAGGGGTTTTCAGCAAGACCACAGCATGTCCCTGAGAAGACGTATTTTAACTTCAAATTATAAACCCAGCAATGAAGCAGTGAACTGTTTTCCTAAACAATACAACATTTATAGTCACTTGACAATTTTATTTTATTTTGGTTTTGTTTTGAGCTAGAGTCTTGCTCTCTTGCTAAGGCTAGTGTGCAGGGGCATGATCATGGCTCACTAGAACCTCAAACTCCTGCGATAATCAAGTGATCTTTCTCCTGCCTCAGCCTCCCCGAGTAGCTGGGACTACAGTTGTACACCACAACACCCAGCTAATTTTTACATTTTTTTATAGAGATGGGGTCTGGTTATGTTGCTCAGGCTTGAACTCCTGGCCTCAAGGGATCCTCCTGCCTCAGCCTCCCAAAGTGCTAGGATTACAGGTATGAGCCATGGTGCCCAGTGACTTTTTTTTTTAATTTGGTAGATATGTTTGCCACCAACAGCAAGTAATTATTTGTTTTTATTGTAATTAACAACTACTACCATTTATTCAGTTTTGTTCTGCCAGATACTAATTTAACACATTTACATGGATTATCTAATGTAATCCTTGAAATATCTTATGGTATGTGGCAATTTGTTATCTAATTAAGGCTACTGATCTATCAGCACAAAACATCAAAATCTAACATTATTTACTTCGTTGGCAAAATTTTTGTTAGTATCCGTTCTCAATGTAAATCTTTTTGGCTTTGAAATATATCTAGGCTTCCCAAAAAGGTTTCCTTAAAATATTAGATTTTTTAATGAATATCATCAGATACTTACTTCCTTACTTATTACCAGAAGTTTTACCTCTGTTTCAGATAAAATTGAAGTAAGCCGATTGGTATTAAAAGGCAGATTTCCTGAAAAATAAAAATAAATGCACCTATTCTAGAATTATTTCAGCTCAGACATTATTCTTATAATAAAACTCTGGGACATTGTAGAATTATAAGTATGCATTATTTTAAGCAAATAATTTTTAAAAAATAAATCTTGAGTTTGCAGAATTAATAAAAAAGGACTGACCTGGACTTTACTTTCACATAATCCATCTGCCCCAGCAGCATTAGTTTGTACAAAATATTGTACAAAAACAGAACCCCAGGTTGAATGATTCCTTCCTCTGGAATACTTCATGTGTTAAAACAGAAGCACGATTTGCAAAACATGCACAATGCTATTACCTACATTCAACACTTTATTACTGAGATAAAGGGGAGCTTAGTTTTTGAGGAGAAGCTGAGATAGAGCCATGATGCTTGATGAAGGGGGATGGTGTTAGTGTGACCATATATAAAATTATAACATGTTTTGTGATTATAAAATTTAAAAATATGTGGCAATAAAGACTCAAGGTGGGGGTAAGCATAGAGAAAGGAGCATGGCATGACTTCAACATTAAAGCTGAGAAAGGTCAGTCCAGATGATCTCCAAGTTGCTTTCCTTCAGTTGAAAAACCAATGGCTTTGATGGGTCCTAACACAATTGAGGCAGCACAGAATGTAGTATTCTACTATTATTTCTGCCACTAACTAGCTGTGTAAACAGGATCGATTCAGCTACCTGCCCTGGTTCTTCATTTGCTAATGTGTAAGGGAAAGAGTTTCTGTTAGCTGACCACTGTGGCTCCATCTATACTAATAATCGCTGACCTTGCACAAGATCCTGGAGTCTAAAAGGATTATAAGATTCTAAGTGTGCCTCCAAAGCACTCCAATCATAGGCTGGCCAACTGTTTAACTAATGCCTTATCAAAAAAATTCAGCTCAATCTATCAAAAAATTTTTGGCCTACCCATAATACATAATTAATTTAACAATGGGAATGCCATGGAAAAGTAACTATACAGGCTAACAAGTTAGCCTACCCCAATAGCATGGATACTGACAGAAGGTGCTAGACTCCTGAGCTAGAGACAAAGGACTTTATTAGCCACAGGAGAAGCAGTAATGGGAGTATCAGCATGGTTTCACTGGTTCCCCCAAATCCCCAATCCAGCAGAGCAATAGGGAGGGCCCAGGGGAGACCGTAGATGCAGCAGGATGAGCCACAGGAGAGGAGTCTGAGCTCAGGCATCCATTGCTTTTATAACAAGCAGTAAGCAAGCCTATTCTCTGTCTGGAAAGAGCCCAGGTGCCATGTAGGAACTTCAGGGCACTATCATTTCAGGATTACCGGTATGCGAACAACCCTGAGAAGCAGCCCAGGTAAAACAGTCAAAGCCCTAGGACTTTGACACATGCAGCAAGTCCCATCCCAGACTGTATCTCAACACACAGGGCATAACGATACAAATTAATAGAATTTTAAGATAAAGTTACATGGTTACTTAAAGAATTATGATTTTAGTTCCAAAAGAAAAAGATGCAAGGAGGACATTTTCTAAGGCTATTTTCACTGCCTTTGGAAAGAGGATCACAAGATTAACATAGGAAGACTTCTGACTTTCCAATGTTCATGTTAACAGATTCCAGTTTTTAAAAATCACTACTTGGGCCTCACACCTCTAATCCTAGCACTCTGGGAGGCTGAGGTGGGAGGATCATTTGAGCTCAGGGGTTCGAGACCAGCCTGAGCAAGAGAGAGACCCCATCTCTACTAAAAAAAATAGAAAGAAATTAGCTGGCGACTAAAAAAAGAAATATTATATATATATATATATATATATATATATATATATACACACACACATATAAATTAGCCGGGCATGGTGGCCACGCCTGTAGTCCCAGCTACTCAGAAGGCTGAGGCAGGAGGATCAAATGAACCCAGGAATTTGAGGTTGCTGTGAGTTAGGCTAACACCACGGCACTCTAGCCCAGGCAACAGAGTGAGACTCTGTCTCAAAAAAAAAAAAAAAAAAATCACTACTGGAACTCCCTATGTTTGAAAAATTATTAAAAGTTGTTGCAGTAACTGTCACAGCACAGAAATATTCTCAAGATAATGGTTGGTTTCTCTGAACTAAGAGAATAGTCTAATGGACCACTATAGAATCATGAGAATGAGGCTAATAATAAGTATGTGATAGAAAAGGAAGAAGGAGAGGGTATGTAAGGAGGAGAAGGGACAGAAGGAAAAAGCTAATACATGGATGACGAGTGCTCCAATGCAAAAAAAGTCTGGTTCAAGACCCAGTTGGATTTAAAGCATCACAGAAAAAGCAGGAGGATTCCACATCCTGCTCTCTCTCCTGTATATTCTGAAAGTGTGGATGACGGCCAGTCATTCTCAGCCAGGTTTTCAAGTGTATCATTTGGCTGCCAGACGCCCATTACACTAATTGGGTCACCAGCCTCTTCTTTATCTCATTGACACAAGGATTCCAGGGATGCTCATTTTTTCTACAGCGTTAAATTGACATACAAGAAACCATAAAATATTCATATGGACCTGTACTCTACGTTTGTATTATACTATAATTCCACAATGATTTCTTAACAGCCTACTTGAGGGATGCAAAGGAATGCCAATACTAAATACATTTCTCAGGCTTAAAAATTAATTTTATACTTCCGGAGCATTTGAAGCACTTGGGAATGGAATTACCATCTTCTTTAAGAATTTTTTCTTGTTAAGTCTAGAGGTGCAACTGCTCCAACCTAACAAACACAGAAATCAGAGCATTTTTAAGAATAAAAAAAATTCTTTTCATATTCCAAAATTAAAATGTCTACGTAAAAATACATATGGCTATATACAGTCACATGCGACATAATGAAATTTTGGTCAACTGACCACATATATAATGGTAGTCCCATAAGATTATAATGGAGCTGAAAAATTCCTATTGCCTAGTATTTACTATACTATACTTTTTATCATTATTTTAGAGTATACTCTTTCTACTTACATAAAAAAGAGTTAACTATAAAACAGCCTCAGGCAGATCTGCAGGAGGTATTCCAGAAGAAGGCATTATTATCATAAGAGGTGACATGTAATTGCTCTGGAAGACCTTCCAGTGGGACAAGATGTGGGATGGAAGACAATGATATTGATGATCCTGACCTGTGCAGGACTAGGCTAATGTGTGTGTTTGTGCCTTGGTTTTTAACAAAAAAGTAAAATTTAAAAATTAGAAAAAAGCTTATAGAATAAGGATATAAAGAAAGAAAATATTTTTGTGCAGCTGTACAATGTGTTTGTGATTTAAGCTAACTGCTATTACAAAAGATTTCAAAAGTTAGAAAAAATTTAATATTATAAACTATTAAAGGAAAAAGGTTATATACAGTAAGCTAAAGTTAATTTATTATTAAAGAAATAAATTTTTTTAAGAAATTTAGTGTAGCCTAAGTGTGCAGTGTTTATAAAGTCTACAGTAGTGTACAGTAATGTTCTAGGCCTTCACATTCACTCACCACTCAGTCACTGACTCACCCAGGGCAACCTCAGGCTTGTAAGCACCATTCATGGTAAGTGCCCTGTATAGGTATGCCATTTTTTATCTTTTATATTGCATTTTTACTGTACCTGTTCTATGTTTAGATATGTTTAGCTACACAAATACTTACCATTGTGTTACAATTGCCTACGGTATTCAGTAGAGTAACGTGCTATACAGGTTTATAGCTTAGGAGCAGTAGGCCATACCATATAGCCTAGCTACATAGTTAGTGTGTTATGACACAAAACTATGATGTTTACATCATAGTTTACATCACAACAAAATCAGCTAAAGATGCATTTCTCAAAAGGAATTCCCCTTGTTAAGCAAAGCATGACTGTTTGTAAATTTTATATTGAACTCTAAAAAGAGCCTATGAACATTATTAGTTACAGATACATTGATTAACTTTTGGGTTTTATTCTCCATTTAAAACAGTAAACTGAATAACTATTAGTGTTAATTTTTATTGAATGAACTGGTGCTTAATGAAAGTTACTCTCCACTAAAATTTCTAACTATGCACGATTTTTAAAATGAGACTTCATATTAATGCTACGCTATTAAACTTTTTCCAAGAAAGAATCACACAACAAATTTTACACAACAGATTTCTGGGTCGCAAACAACAGAATCCACTCTGATTGGTTTAAGAAAGAAAGGATTTACTATAGGTATTAGGTAGTTTATAGGATAAAAAATATTTTATAGTCCAAACTACAGCAAAATTCTGGGGAAGAGGCTGGCCAGATCGCAGAACCACAGGTCTCCACCACAGTTAGGAAGCAGGGGCCACCACTTCCAAAGAATAGCATGATCTTTGCCAATACCTGCACCAGAACAATTGATGCCCATGTCCTATCTTTTCCCCCACATATATTAATGTCAAATCAAGATATCATGAAGATATATGTGTCAGAATCTAAATCATTAACTATACTCTAAAAGAAAAGGTAAGCTGGGAAAGGTAGCTTCTTGGTTTGTTTTTTCAAGTTTTGTTTTGTTTGTATTGTACATTGAGATGGTGGGGTTTACACTATGAAGAACTATAAAAATGTTATAGTATGTTCAAAGGATCTGGGACAACCCCAAGTTACAAATGTCAACTGCATTTTATTTATCATAAAATTTCAGGTACTTTACGTAATACATTTCGCATGTTTTTCTTCATTCTAGATAAATAAGTGGATGGTTCTAGCAGTCCAGTCATTTTTTATTATTTATTGTATGTGACTTATAATAAGTTTTGGTCTTCATTCTATTTTCAATCCTAGTTTCCTTCAGGTTGTTTGAAAACTCACCATTACATTACAGAGTTCAAGGCACAAACCCCAAACTATTACATATGTCTTTTGGTCAATATTCAATTTGTAACATGTCTTTTGTCTTTAAGCTTTGTTAAACTCTATTCACCATCTACCACTGCCTTTCCTAGGGGACTGCCAATACTCAAATGGAATATTTTTGTATCACTTACTCTTGATAGATTGCAGTCTGGCAAAGTTGGAGTTGTGCTTCATTTGGCAAACTGTAAAATGACCAATACCTCTTTAGAGATAGTTGAATCTTTAAAAGAATAAAGGAAATAAATAAATAAATAGCTTAGAGAAGGACTAAAGGAAAATGATTATGAAGCTCTTCTGTTATCTGAGAGCCCTTTGATGTTTCTGATAACCAATACATGAGCAGTTTTTATGTGTTCTCCAAAGTCTATTTTTCACATGGTAGATGCCGGTAAGTAAAATCTTCTATATACAGATTCATGAGAATTTAGTATGATTCTAATAGAGCAAAACTTCTCCCGTGGTGAGGAGACATTGGATACAGTGAGGAGATAATTCTCCCCAGCATTAATGAACTTCCATGATGTTAGGCCATGTACCTCCTGGCTGTTTTTTGTTTGGTTGATTGGTTGGGATTTTCGTGTTTTGTTTTAGAGATAGGGGTATCTTGTTCTGTTGCCCAAGCTGGAGTGCAGTGGTGTAATCATAGCTCACTGCAAGCTCAAACTTCTGGACTCAAGGGATCCTCCTGCCTCAGCCTTCCCAGTAGCTAGGACTACAGGTGTGTGCCACCACACCAAGCTACTTTTTAAAATTTTTTTGTAGAGATGGGGGTCTCACTATGTTGCCTAGGCTGGTCTTGAAATGCTGGCCTCAAGGGATCCTCCCACCTTGGCCTCTGAAAGCACTGGGATTACAAGCATGAGCCACTGCACTGCAGATGGAGAGAAAGAGATGTTTATATATTGATACGTATGTTTGCATGTATGAATATATATTCAAGCACACATATAGACACATATGCACAAATATAGAAACATATAATTTTACAAAAACAAAATTACACTATTCTATTTGGTTGTTTGATTTTTTTTCCCTTAGTGGCATATTGACTTTTTTCCACATGTATGTACATCATCATTTTTAATAGCTGTATCATATTCCATTATACAATACATAGTAATATATTTAACCCAGTCACTGCTCAGTACCCAGTTTAAATATCACTTCCTCCAAGAAGGCTTCACTGCCTCCCCACGTCAGGATTCGGCACCATCTTATGCACTCCGACCATCGTCTATACCCTAGTGATGGGCTAGACTGCTTGGGTTTGCATTTGGTTCCACAATTTGTTGTTAGCCACGTGCTATGGTTTGGATATGGTTAATTTGTTCCCACCAAACTCATGTTGAAATTTGACCCCCGATGTGGCAGTGTTGGGAGATGGAGCCTAGTGGGAGGTGATTGGATCGTGGGGGTGGATCCCTAATGAATGGCTTGGTGTCACCCTCACTCTGGTGAGACTGGATTAGTTCTCACAGGAATGGATTAGTTGTTGAGAGTGGGTTGTTATAAAGCCAGGATGTCCATGGTGTTTTGTCTCTCTTCACGTGTGTCTGTTTCCCCTTTCACCTTCTCTGCCAAAGCCCTCCCCAGGAGCCAGGGCCATGCCCTTGAACTTTCCGGCCTGCAGAAGGATAAGATAAATAAACTTATTTACACATAACCCAGTCTCAGATATTCTGTTATGGCAAAACGAGATGAACGAGATACCACCTAACCTTAGGAAAGTTACTTTACTCCGTAAAATGGGTCTTATGAGAGCAGCTACTTCATATGCTTGTCATAACTAAATACTGAATTAAAACACTCAGAACAGCACTTCACAGTGAATCGCATATGAAATTCACTTAGAATCATGCGTAGTGCATAATACTCAATAAATGCTATAAATCCTATTGTTGCTGCTGTTGTTGTGCCCACAGGGACACCAGGTGTCATTGCCCAAGTGCCATCCAGCTGCCCTACACAGCGACACCCACGGAGCAGTGAGAGGAGCGAGATTTTTGAGTGAGACTTTTTTCCCCAATGTCGAATTTAAGGGTGAACTAAAGATCCCACATCTAGGCGACTTCCTAAATAGATACAGATGCACGTCCATTTCATCTCTGACATTTCTCCAAGCTCAAAATCAAACAAGAGTCACCTTTGTGTGTTTCTCTTGAAAGCGTGGGGGCGAGTCCTGTCTCGACATCGGCTACTTTTCGCTCCTGGAGAGACCCTCAGTGGGTGGATTCTTCTTCTAGTCCTGACAGGAAAAACAAACGAAAATAAAACCCGTTCCTCACCACCCATGCTGTCTGACCCCAGTCATGAACCCAGACTTTTCCTCAGGCGACCGCGCTCCCAGGAAGAGCGCACCCCACACGCAACCAGACTTTTCCTCAGGCGGCAGCGCTCCCACGAAGCGACACCCCACACGCAACCAGACTTTTCCTCAGGCGACAGCGCTCCCACGAAGCGACACCCCACACGCAACCAGACTTTTCCTCAGGCGGCAGCGCTCCCACGAAGCGACACCCCACACGCAACCAGACTTTTCCTCAGGCGGCAGCGCTCCCACGAAGCGACACGCCACACGCAACCAGACTTTTCCTCAGGCGACAGCGCTCCCACGTTGCGTGGGGCGTCACTTCGTGGGAGCGCTGTCGCCTGAGGAAAAGTCTGGTTACGTGGGCGTCATTTCGTGGGAGCGCTGTCGCCTGAGGAAAAGTCTGGTTACGTGGGGCGTGTCGCTTCGTGGGAGCGCTGTCGCCTGAGGAAAAGTCTGGTTGCGTGTGGCACCTGGCTGCTGCTACCTTTTCAGACCGGCTCAGGCCGCACGTGCGAGCCAGCGTACTGGCGGCCAGGAGAGCCAGCGGGCTTGGGCCAGGGCCATGGCCGCCGCGCGCTCTCCGGACTGCGGCCCCAGGACGCCCCAGGCGCCCCCTCGCGGGCCGCAGGGGCGTGGTCTGAGGAGGACACGCCCACGGCCCCGCCTCTCAGACTGCAAGCTCCTCCCGGCGGGACCCGACAGAGCCGGGGTAGGGAGCGTGCACGCGGTGCGCTGCAGCTGAACACACCGTGCATGGCTGGGGGGGGATTTGAACTGTTACTTATATATGAAACTCTAAGGACAAGCTGCAGAGGTAGAACGTAACATTCTCATGCATTCTTAAATAATGCATGAGTTTGAAATAAATGTGTCGAGGGTGAAGAGACCCTTGGGGTAGCGTTCTGCGGGAGGTGCCTTGGGTGCAAGTTTGAGAAGCGCCGTTAAGAACACAGATGCTCCCGAAGTCGCTGCGACCAGCGTTGAGCCCCCCTCTAGCCGAGTGGGGTGGGCGGGATGCATGCAACTTGCATCTGGGCCTCCTGGGGAACGCTGAAAAGAGGCATAAAAGGCCGCTTGCAGAACTTTCTGGAACTGAGCGGTGGAAGCGAAGGCCTCTACTTCTAGGCTCTAGGATAAACAGCGAGGTGGGCACTGACGGTTCAAGGGCCTGGAAGTTCCTTTATTCGGTTGATTCACATGTCACTGCCATTGTGGTGGGTCAACTTAACAGAATAGCCCCGGTTGCTTTAAGTTTCCTGGGAAACGAAGTTAAATATGCTTCAATCATTCACAAGCATTTACAAGGCCATTAAGCAGCTGCCACTTGCAGTGAGCTGGTCATTAAAGAATTTAACGTCCTCCGTGATTTTCACCTTTTCGTTCCATTAGAAAAGGCCTCAGAATGGAATTATGCCAGAAATATGTGGACATATATGCGGTTTATAGGAAACTCATCTAAAACAGTAAATCTATGAAAGCCACTGTTGCTTGTATAGTCAGTTTAAGTTTTTTAAAGTCGTGCACAAAACCAAGACTTTTAAAAAAAAACTCGGAAAGGACACAGAAATGAGTACAAGGATTCCCAAATCTCTTAAAATTTAAGCTGATTCTGAATCTGATGCAGATTACGATAGTTGTAAACATACACTGATTTTCTTGTGCAAAATCAGCTCTACTCAATCAGCTCACTCCCCTTGTACGTAATAGATTTTTCCCCCCTGAGGCTGTTCCTTGTGAAACTGTGAATGGCACCACCTTGTTTGTCCACTTGTCCAAGACAGAGACCTGGGAATCATTTTTTATTCCCCCCGCCCCATTCTAGCACATCCCAAATTCATTCTCTCTGCAGCTACCAGAAAGATCTTTACAAAATGCACTTCCTTGCTAAAAGCCCTTGAATAATTCCCATATTCCTCATTAGATTTTAAAGGCTCTTTGGATTCCACTTCTCCACCCCAACCCTTCCCACTTGCTCCTTTTTACTCTCTCCGCCTCCTGCCATCCCTCCTTCCCAATAACACTCACTGTTAACTCGCTCTGATTTCCCCAAGGCACAGGGACGTCCATTTGATCACTTAGCCTGAAACACTCTTCAGCCCCTTCTTCCCTGGCAAGCTCCTTCTGTTCTGTCAGGTCTCTGATTAGATGATTTCCTACAGTAGTAGCTCCCCAGATTTCCCTGCTATAGGTTCTCATAGCCCCACACTGTGACCCCAGCAGCCCTTATCACGCCGTATTATAATTGTCCTTTTTCCTCTATTTCGCCGCTAGACTAAGCTGCTGAACTTTGCCTAGAAGGAAGCTACATGTGGAAAGAGCCTGAGCTTTCAAGTCATAGAGATGTTGGCTCCAAATGCAGTTCCTGCATTTACAAATTATGTGCACTTCAGCAAAGTTTCTTTTATTTATTTATTTGTTTATTATTTATTTTGAGACAGACTCTCATTTCTTGCCCAGCTGGAGTGAGTGCTGTGGCGTCAGCCTAGCTCACAGCACCTCAAACTCCTGGGCTCAGTGATCCTACTTCAGCCTCCCAAGTAGCTGGGACTGCAGGCACGCACCACCATGCCCGGCTAATTTTTTGTATATATATATTTTAGTGGTCAATTAATTTCTTCTATTTTTGGTAGAGACGGGTCTCGCTCAGGCTGGTTTCGAACTTCTGACCTTGAGCAATCTGCCCGCCTCGGCCTCCTAGAGTGCTAGGATTACAGGCATGAGCCACTGCGCCCGGCCTAAATACCATATTCTTATACCATTCATATTCCATATGAAATATCATATTCATATACCATTGCCCAGCCCAGCAAGTTTCTTAACCTCTCTTAATCTTAGTTTCCATCTATAAGAAAAGAGGATCATAATAAAGATTATGAGACAATGTGTATAAAGTATTTTGCACATAGCCAGGCACTTAGTAGATGCTCAGGAAATAGTAGTTACAAATGGTAGCAATTCTGCCCCAAATCTCCTCCCAAGAGAGTGGACAGTTCTTATCAAACCATGATGATAAGATGAAGAAGAAAACTATGATTTCTCCTGACCCAGAAAGATCCTTAGTAGCTGTATATACTTAAGGAGGTATTTGACTGGTCTCTTTCATGCCTCAGTTTCTTTATCTGAACATGTTTCTTGTCATTAGTGTGATCAAAGGATAGCATGAAAGTATTTTGTACAAATACAGCATTTTGAAATGAGGTATTCCTTTCTTATATTTGTTAGAAGAAATATGATTCTAAAACATTAAAATTTTTAAAACTAACTGGGGGCTGAGCGACCATAAATAATTTAAAACAGTAAGTCCTCACTTTACCCATGTCCCTTAACATTTTCCTTTCTGTATCCTCTTTATCAGAAAAGGTAAGTTGTAAAACAAGTTGATAGGAATTTCATCAATCACACCTTCAGCCACCATCTACTGTAATAGTGATGGTGAACACTAGTATAAGAAGTGATAAGCAAATGGACAGCTAGTATAAGAAGAAAGGCCCCAGAAATCAGGAAAATCTATATCTTTCTATGATAGAACCTTGAATAACTGAGATTGGGCTATTTTTACAGTTTATTATCCACATTTCAGACTAACAGACTATTAGAACTAGGAAATATGTAGCATTCTGGGGAAAAGAAGATTGAATGCCTACATATTTACTTTCACTGCCTCCAAATTCTACAAAAATGATAATAAAAGATAACTATAAAACATACAAGATAAAAAGCACCTTGGAGAGGAAACACTGCAAAAAATACTATTAGCTGGAAAACAGTGAATGAGAGGTAATTGACTCAGATAACTGATATAGACCTCAGTCCTAAACCTGCAGGAAGAAAGCTAAGAAGCAAAACAGTTTTACTGCAGAATCCAGGAAGTCTCTGGAATTGGCACACCAGGTAACTCTGAAAGTAGGGACAAAACCAGGGCTATTGAAGGATGGGGTTAATGTTTGTTTAAGAAGCAGTTAGGTCCTCAAATCACTCTCTCCCATTCAGTGCAGCAAATCAAATGCCTCTCCAACGCCCAGCATCCAAACCCTGAAGGTTTACTCTCTGGAGATAGAAAACAGAGTTTCTGGACCAGGGAATATTAGGCACAGTTAAGGGAGTATTGTACTGAACCCAGAGGTATTAACAGAACATTTGCATGCTGAATGTTGAGAAGACACCCCATCTCTTTTCTTGATGAGCTCTGGTATAAAGGGAGCCAGGTCTGTATCTTTTCAGTAGGAAATTAAAAAAATACTTCTTTGGGGAACCTCAGTAGTCCAAATTAATATATCTAAAGATACATGCAAAGTGTCCCTGGTAAATCACCCTGTAATGGATCTCATAATCAACAAGCCCAGAGCTTCCAAACAGCTCAGTGTTCCTATATATGAGCAAATGGCCAGGGATCACCAGATATCCAAGGGAAAGCTGTAACATAAAAGAGGCTAAAACAAAGGAATAGGAAGGAAAAGGCAAATTGAAGAAGTAGACACCATTGTGGGCAGACTAAGGCCTTAAATAACTATAATTAATGTACTCAGACAGATAGGAAAAGTTATTTTATCCATAAAAAAGAATAAGATGTTCTCTTACTCAGGAAATATTCAGGAAACCAACAGTTCTTGGAAATGACATGCATAATAGCAAAAATAAAAACTTAATAGAAGGGTTGGAAGATAAAGTTAAGGAAATCTTCCAGAAAATAGAAAGCAAAAATACATGTTGTGCTCACTTTAGCCGCACATATATTAAAATGGAATGATACAGAGAACATTAGTATGGCCACTTGCAAGGATGACACACAAATTCATAAATCATTCCGTATTTTAGAAAAGCAAAATAGAAAATAACAAGTGTTGGACAGAATGTGGGAAAGTTGGAACCCTTGTGCACTGTTTGTAGGAATATAAAATGGTGCAGACACTATGGAAAACAGTAAGGCAGTTCCTCAAAAAATTAAACACAGTTACCGTATGATCCAGCAATTCCACTTCTGGGTATATACCCAAAAGAATTGAAAGCAGAGACTCAAACGATATTTGTGCATCCGTGTCCATAATAGCTTTATTTGCAATAGCCAAAATGTGGAAGCAACCCAAATGTCTGCTGACAGATGAATGGATAAACTAAATGTGATATATACATACAATTGAATATTATTTAGCGTTAAAAAGGAAGGAAATTCTGGTACATACTACAACGTGGATGATCCTGAAAGACATTATTCTAAGTGAAATGAGCCAGTCACAAAGGGACAAATATTGTATGATTCCACCTATTTGAGGTACCTAGAGTAGTTAAACACACAGAGACAGAAAGTAGAACAGTGGCTACCAGAGGCTGAGGGCAGGGAGTAATGGGGAGTTATTGGGGTTTTGGGGGGGGGTTGGGGGGGAGTTATTGGTTAATGGGTACAGAGTTTCAGTTCGGGATGATGCAAAAGCTGGATGGATAGTGGTGATCGTTGCATGACAATGTGAAAAGTACTTAATTCCACTGAACTGTACACTTAAAATGGTCTTATGTATATTTTACCACAACTTTTTAAAAACTAGCACTTTATGCCTATAACTTAAGAGAGACAGAGGCAAATATTAAAAGAAATAACTATGAGGATGGGAAAATGTTGGGAGAGGGCTGCTGTTTTTCAAAGAAGTTTTATAAAACTACTTATCTCTTTATGTGCATGTAAAATTCGATAACACTATAAATAAATGACACATAACAAATTTGAAATAATTGTAAGTTCCTCAATTTTATAGGTAACCAAATCATGGAGAGCTTCCTTATGGATGACCTATAAAATAAAAAGGAAAAAAAAAATTCAAATCATGGTGAGGATAGGACTTTTGGCCAAAGTAAAAACAGTAATTGACAGACTAAGGACTTGAGCCAACATGTTCTAAGTTCAAGTTCAGCCTCCTTACCACCACAACACATTGTAGCCTATAACAGAATCTTCCTAAATACCCTAAAATAAACCTTTCTGAGAGTCCTGCCTAAAACCTTCTTAAATTACTTTTCTACATGTTTTATTAAATGCCTAATAAACTGCAGCAGATTTTTCCATTTTGCCCAGGATTACTCATTGATACATGATATTTTTTCCTAATCCAAACATAATTTTGAAATAATATACTTTTCTGATTTTTTTCTCTGTCTTCATAATTAAAATGGAATGGGGTTTTTCAGCCCTGCATTTAGTTTTGCTTCCTAAGTGGTTAGAGAGACTTTGCTATCGATGAATAATAAGACATTGTCCCGTATTTCTTGCATGGAGTATTTTGTACTAACTGAATCCAAAAAGCTACCCATTTTCACTGTTATGGCAACAGAAAGCATTTCCATATCAATTCAACTCAAGTCACCAATCTAATATTAATTTTAATGTTAATTTTTTCCATTAGAAATATGATATCATTATAAAATTATTTGTTTATTATTTATTTTGAGACAGACTCTCATTTCTTGCCCAGCTGGAGTGAGTGCTGTGGCGTCAGCCTAGCTCACAGCACCTCAAACTCCTGGGCTCAGGATCCTACTTCAGCCTCCCAGTAGCTGGGACTGCAGGCACGCACCACATGCCCGGCTAATTTTTTGTATATATATATTTTAGTGGTCAATTAATTTCTTTCTATTTTTGGTAGAGACGGGTCTCGCTCAGGTGCGTTTCGAACTCCTGACCTTGAGCAATCTGCCCCCTCGGCCTCCAGAGTGCTAGGATTACAGGCATGAGCCACTGCCCCAGCTAAATACCATATTCTTATACCATTCATATTCCATATGAAATACCATATTCATATACCATTGCCCAGCCCAGCAAGTTTCTTAACCTCTCTTAATCTTAGTTTCCTATCTATAAAGAAAGAGGATCATAATAAAGATTTATGAGACAATGTGTATAAAGTATTTTGCACATAGCCAGGCACTTAGTAGATGCTCAGGAAATAGTAGTTACAAATGGTAGCAATTCTGCCCCAAATCTCCTCCCAAGAGAGTGGACAGTTCTTATCAAACCATGATGATAAGATGAAGAAGAAAACTATGATTTCTCCTGACCCCAGAAAGATCCTTAGTAGCTGTATATACTTAAGGAGGTATTTGACTGGTCTCTCATGCCTCAGTTTCTTTATCTGAACATGTTTCTGTCATTAGTGTGATCAAAGGATAGCATGAAAGTATTTTGTACAATATAGCATTTTGAAATGAGGTATTCCTTTCTTATTATTTGTTAAAGAAATATGATTCTAAAACATTAAATTTTTAAAACTAACTGGGGCTGAGCGACCATAAATAATTTAAACAGTAAGTCCTCACTTTACCCATGTCCCTTAACAATTCCTTTCTGTATCCTCTTTACCAGAAAAGGTAAGTTGTAAAACAAGTTGATAGGAATTTCATCAATCACACCTTCGGCCACCATCTACTGTAATAGTGATGGTGAACACTAGTATAAGAAGTGATAAGCAAATGGACAGCTAGTATAAGAAGAAAGGCCCAGAAATCATGAAAATCTATATCTTTCTATGATACAACACTTGAGTAACTGAGATTGGGCTATTTTTACAGTTTATCATCCACATTTCAGACTAACAGACTATTAGAACTAGGAAATATGTAGCATTCTGGGGAAAAGAAGATTGAATGCCTACATATTTACTTTCACTGCCTCCAAATTCTACAAAATGATAATAAAAGATAACTATAAAACATACAAGATAAAAAGCACCTTGGAGAGGAACACTGCAAAAATATATTAGCTGGAAAACAGTGAATGAGAGGTAATTGACTCAGATAACTGATATAGACCTCAATCCTAAACCGGCAGGAAGAAGCTAAGAAGCAAAACAGTTTTACTGCAGAATCCAGGAAGTCTCTGGAATTGGCACACCAGGTGACTCTGAAGTAGGGACAGTCGCTTCGTGGGAGCGCTGTCGCCTGAGGAAAAGTCTGGTTGCGTGTGGCACCTGGGCTGCTGCTACCTTTTCACGCACCGGCTCAGGCCGCACAGGCGAGCCAGCGTCCTGGCGGCCCGGAGGAACCCGCGGGGCTTGGGGCCAGGGCCATGGCCGCCGCGCGCTCTCCGGACTGCGGCCCCCAGGGACGCCCCAGGCACCGCCCCCTCGCCGGGGCCTCAGGGGGCGTGGTCTGAGGAGGACACGCCCACGGCCCCGCCTCTCGGACTGCAAGCTCCTCCCGGCGGAACCCGGCACAGAGCCGGGGTGGGGAGCGTGCACGCGGTGGCGCTGCAGCTGGAACACACCGTGCATGCGTGGAGGGGGGGGATTTGAACTGTTACTTATATATGAAACTCGTAAGGACAAGCTGCAGAGGTAGAACGTAACATTCTCATGCATTCTTAAAATAATGCATGACTTTGAAATAAATGTATCGAGGTGAAAGAGACCCTTGGGGTAGCGTTCTGCGGGGAGGTGCAAACTTGGGTGCAAGTTTGAGAAGCGCCGTTAAGGAACACAGATGCTCCAGCGTTGAGCCCCCCTCTAGCCGAGGTGGGAGTCGGGATGCATGCAACTTGCATCTGGCCCCTCCTGGAGAACGCTGAAAAGAGGCATAAAAGGCCGCCTGCAGAACTTTCTGGAACTGAGCGGTGGAAAGCGAAGGCCTCTACTTCTAGGCTCTAGGATAAACAGCGAGGTGGGCCCTGGAAGTTCCTTTTATTCGGTTGATTCACATGTCACTGCCATTGTGGTGGGTCAACTTAACAGAATAGCCCCGGTTGCTTTAAGTTTCCTGGGAAACGAAATTAAATATGCTTCAGTCATTCACAAGCATTTACAAGGCCATTAAGCAACTGCCACGCAGTGAGCTTGGTCATTAAAGAATTTAACGGCCTCCGTGATTTTCACCTTTTCGTTCCATTAGAAAGGCCTCAGAATGGAATTATGCCAGAAATATGTGGACATATATGCGGTTTTATAAGGAAACTCATCTAAAACAGTAAATCTATGAAAGCCACTGTTGCTTGTATGATTCAGTTTAAGTTTTTTAAAGTCGTGCACAAAACCAAGACTTTAAAAAAAAAAAAAACTCAGAAAGGACACAGAAATGAGTACAAGGATTCCCAAATCTCTTAAAATTTAAGCTGATTCTGAATCTGATGCAGATTATGATAGTTCTAAACATACACTGATTTTTCTTGTGCAAAATCAGCTCTACTCAATCAGCTCACTCCCCTTAGTACGGTAATAGATTTTTCCCCCCCTGAGGCTGTTCCTTGTGAAACTGTGAATGGCACCACCTTGTTTGTCCACTTGTCCAAGACAGAGACCTGGGAACCATTTCTTATTCCCCCCGCCCCATTCTAGCACATCCCAAATTCATTCTCTCTGCAGCTACCAGAATGATCTTTACAAAATGCACTTCCTTGCTAAAAGCCCTTGAATAATTCCCCATATTCCTCATTAGATTTTAAAGGCTCTTTGGAGTCCACTTCCCCACCCCAACCCTTTCCACTTGCCCCTTTTTACTCTCTCTGCCTCCTGCCATCCCTCCTTCCCAATAACACTCATTGTTAACTCGCTCTGATTTCCCCAAGGCACAGGGACGTCCATTTGATCACTTAGCCTGAAACACTCTTCAGCCCCTTCTTCCCTGGCAAGCTCCTTCTGTTCTGTCAGGTCTCTGATTAGATGATTTCCTACAGTAGTAGCTCCCCAGATTTCCCTGCTATAGGTTCTCATAGCCCCACACTGTGACCCCAGCAGCCCTTATCACGCCGTATTATAATTGTCCTTTTTCCTCTATTTCACCGCTAGACTAAGCTGCTGAACTTTGCCTAGAAGGAAGCTACATGTGGAAAGAGCCTGAGCTTTCAAGTCATAGAGATGTTGGCTCCAAATGCAGTTCCTGCATTTACAAATTATGTGCACTTCAGCAAGTTTCTTTTTATTTATTTATTTGAGGTGGGCCGGATTGCTCAAGGTCAGGAGTTCCGAAACCAGCCTGAGCCGAGACCCTGTCTCTACCAAAAATAGAAATAATTAATTGACCAACTAAAAATATATATACAAAAAATGAGCCGGGCATGGTGGCGCATGCCTGTAGTCCCAGCTACTCGGGAGGCTGAGGCAGGAGGATCGCTGAGCCCCGGAGATTGAGGTTTGCTGTGAGCCAGGCTGACGCCACGGCACTCACTCTAGCCTGGCAACAAGTGAGATTTCTGTCTTAAAAAAAAAAAAAAAAAAAAAGAGTTTTCTTCTAAAGTCAGAAGCATGGTAAATTATATATTATTGCTTTGTCTAACTGTTCTTTATAATGATATCATATTTCTAATGGAAAAAATTAACATTAAAATTAATATTAGATTGGTGACTTGAGTTGAATTGATATGGAAATGCTTTCTGTTGCCATAACAGTGAAAATGGGTAGCTTTTTGGATTCAGTTAGTACAAAATACTCCATGCAAGAAATACGGGACAATGTCTTATTATTCATCGATAGCAAAGTCTCTCTAACCACTTAGGAAGCAAAACTAAATGCAGGGCTGAAAAACCCCATTCCATTTTAATTATGAAGACAGAGAAAAAAATCAGAAAAGTATATTATTTCAAAATTATGTTTGGATTAGGAAAATATCATGTATCAATGATAATCCTGGCAAAATGAAAAATCTGCTGCAGTTTATTAGGCTTTAATAAAACATGTAGAAAAGTAATTTAAGAAGTTTTAGGCAGGACTCTCAGAAAGGTTTATTTTAGGGTATTTAGGAAGATTCTGTAATAGGCTACAATGTGTTGTGGTGGTAAGGAGGCTGAACTTGAACTAGAACATGTTGGCCTCAAGTCCTTAGTCTGTCAATTACTGTTTTTACTTTGGCCAAAGGTCCTATCCTCACCATGATTTGATTTTTTTTTCCTTTTTATTTTATAGGTCATCCATAAGGAGGCTCTCCATGATTTGGTTACCTATAAAATTGAGGGCCTTACAATTATTTCAAATTTGTTATCTATAGTGTTATCGAATTTTACATGCACATAAAGAGATAAGTAGTTTTATAAAACTTCTTTGAAAAACAGCAGCCCTTCTCCCAACATTTTCCCATCCTCATAGTTATTTCTTTTAATATTTGCCTCTGTCTCTCTTAAGTTATAGGCGTAAAGTGCTAGTTTTTAAAAAGTTGTGGTAAAATATACATAAGACCATTTTAACTGTACAGTTCAGTGGAATTAAGTACTTTTCACATTGTCATGCAACGATCACCACTATCCATCCCAGCTTTTGCATCATCCCAAACTGAAACTCTGTACCCATTAACCATAACTCCCCCCACAAAACCCCTCCCCCAAACCCAATAACTCCCCATTACTCCCTGCCCTCAGCCTCTGTAGCCACTGTTCTACTTTCTGTCTCTGTGTGTTTAACTACTCTAGGTACCTCAAATAGGTGGAATCCATACAATATTTGTCCTTTGTGACTGGCTCATTTCACTTAGAATAATGTCTTTCAGGATACATCCACGTTGTAGTATGTACCAGAATTCCTTCCTTTTTAACTGCTAAATAATAATTCAATTGTATGTATATACTCACATTTAGTTTATCCATTCATCTGTCAGCAGACATTTGGGTTGCTTCCCCATTTTGGCTATTGCAAATAAAGCTATTATGGACACGGATGCACAATATCGTTTGAGTCTCTGCTTTCCAATTCTTTTGGGTATATACCCAGAAGTGGAATTGCTGGATCATACGGTAACTGTGTTTAATTTTTTGAGGAACTGCCTTACTGTTTTCCATAGTGTCTGCACCATTTTATATTCCTACCAACAGTGCCCAAGGGTTCCAACTTTCCCACATTGTGTCCAACACTTGTTATTTTCTATTTTGCTTTTCTAAAATACGGAATGATTTATGAATTTGCGTGTCATCCTTGCAAGTGGCCATACTAATGTTCTCTGTATCATTCCATTTTATTTTTTTATTTTTTTTATTTATTTTTTTTTTTTGAGACAGAGTCTCACTTTGTTGCCCAGGCTAGATGAGTGCCGTGGCGTCAGCTAGCTCACAGCAACTCAAACTCCTGGGCTCGAGTGATCCTTCTGCCTCAGCCTCCCCAGGTAGCTGGGACTCACAGGCATGCGCCACCTGCCGGCTAATTTTTATATATATATCAGTTGGCCAATAATTTCTTTCTATTTATAGTAGAAGACGGGGTCTCGCTCTTGCTCAGGCTGTTTGAACTCCTGACCTTGACAATCCGCCCCGCCCGGCCTCCAAGAGCTAGGATTACAGGCGTGAGCCACAGCGGCCCCGGCCTGTATCATTCCATTTTAATATATGTGCGGCTAAAGTGAGCACAACATGTATTTTTTCTTTCTATTTTCGGAAATTTCCTTAACTTTATCTTCCAACCGCTTCTATTTAAGTTTTATTTTTGCTATTATCGCATGTCATTTCCAAAACTGTTGGTTTCCTGAATATTTCCTGAGTAAGAGAACATCTTATTCTTTTTTATGGATAAAATAACTTTTCTATCTGTCTGAGTACATTAATTATAGTTATTTAAAGGCCTTAGTCTGCCCACAATGGTGTCTACTTCTTCAATTTGCCTTTTCCTTCCTATTCCTTTTGTTTAGCCTCTTTTATGTTACAGCTTCCCCCTTGGATATCTGGTGACCCTGGCCATTTGCTCATATATAGAACACTGAGCTGTTTGGAAGCTCTGGGCTTGTTGATTATGAGATCCATTACAGGGTGATTTACCAGGACACTTTGCATGTATCTTTAGATATATTAATTTGGACTACTGAGGTTCAAAGAAGTATTTTTTAATTTCCTACTGAAAAGATACAGACCTGGCTCCCTTTATACCAGAGCTCATCAAGAAAAGAGATGGGGTGTCTTCTCAACATTCAGCATGCAAATGTTCTGTTAATACCTCTGGGTTCAGTACAATACTCCCTTAACCTGTGCCTAATATTCCCTGGTCCAGAAACTCTGTTTTCTATCTCCAGAGAGTAAACCTTCAGGGTTTGGGATGCTGGGCGTTGGAGAGGCATTTGATTTGCTGCACTGAATGGAGAGAGTGATTTGAGGATAACTGCTTCTTAAACAAACATTAACCCATCCTTCAATAGCCTGGTTTTGTCCCTAC